GGGGTTCGCTCCGGGCTTTTAACATAACGAAAAGTGGAGACACCTTTGTTAGCGCTGTCAGCACCGTAAGCATTCTAAACAGCAACTGCAGTAATCCCACCAATCAGCGTACGGCAATACTCGACGCTCATTGGCTGCTAAGCCAGTGACGATTTTGGGGGCCAGAGCGTTAGAGGTAACCTATAGCAGCTGGGGTCGTTCAGTTAAGGACTTGATTTTGATATTATTTAGGCCAGTCTGATAAAAACTCGGAACGGTGTTAAAACTGCAATTCATTCTAGTAGTGGTCCGACAAGTCTTTTTGCTTTTTCTTAACCAATTCTTTGAAAAATGAGTTATTAGATGCGCACTCATCCCAAATTTGCCCCGTTACCGTGGCAACCTGAGTTTGTTTGGTCCCCAGAGTTGCGGTTACTAAATTCATTTTTGTCCCCAGTTTTTCGTCGGGAGCGTTCTACCTGGTTTACATAGCCTTGCCCTCAATATTTTTACCCGGCATCTGCTCAGTTCTGCATTCCAGGACGGCGTTGTCAAGCAATGAATGGTCAACCCTCCAGCAAATAAAAGAGGCTTCTACATCCATGGACGAGGGAAAGTAGGTATAATTTGCTTACCTGTTTGCAATGCACAAAAAGTACAGGGCGCTGAACTCGACACCGTCACAGTCATTTCCGAGTCCGCCGGCCTTGACCTTGCTCTCGCAGCCTTCCAGAATCTCCTTCAGCTCCTGATGGCCTTCCTTGGTCCAGTCGAAGCCCTCTGGCTCGCACTGGCGCACATGCAGCATCTCAAACGAGTCGACCACCTCGTCCGTAAGGAACGGTGCGTTGTCGATGGTCACGTCTGTTGGAAGAGGAAGCATGTTCATGACAGTCATCGGTTGTGCAGTTTTAGGACGTGGCAAGAGTCTACTCTTCTAGTGCTCTAAGCAGCGTTGTAATGATCATAATATACTACCCAAGCGTGCGGTGTCTATTACTATGTCCACCATAGTGATGTCAATTACGGAAAATCGTGATACCGATACCAAACCAAATACCAACAATATCCATGGAAAAATACCGAAACCGAACCGACTTGGGAATGTAAGGAAAATACCAACTTTTTACCAAATTCTAAGCCTCTTTTACATTAGTGAGGATTCATAATACCAACAAAATACCAAACGCACTCGCCTTGAAATACCAAATACCAAGTTGGTATCGGTTTGGTATCGGTATACCAAAAAGTTGGTATCCGATTGACATCTCTAGTCCACCACTCGTATCTGGTGTGACGGCTGACGCATGGTGCTTACTAGTGATGTCAATTACGGAAAATCGGAATACCGATACCAAACCAAATACCAACCAAATCCTCGGAAAAAAAATACCGAAACCAAACCAACTTGGGAAAATGAGGGAAATACCCACTTTTTACCGATTTCTTAGTCTCTTATACATTAGTGAATAGTGAGGGTTTATGATACCAACAAAATACCAAGCACATTACGATTGAAATACCAAATACCAAGTTGGTATCGGTTTGGTATCGGTATACCAAAAAGTTTGTATCCGATTGACATCTCTAGTGCTTACCCATCCGAGTCTGAGAGAGGTCCCTCTTGCTTGGGCCGGCCTGACTGCCGGCGATTGCCAGCAGGACGGCGCCAATGCCGAGACTCAGTCGTATCAGGACGGCCATGGCGATGCTGTTGATCGAATGAAGGATCGATGCTCTGTGCCCCTCGATTGCCGGACCACAGCCGACGTCGACACAGGACCGAGTCACATGGGACGTAGCTCCGCCCATGTCGCCACCACCAATCTTTCCATCGAGCCAATCCGTTTCCAACAAGTGACAATCCAGATAACGTTGGTAGTTCAAATGTTCATACACATGTGGCTGAGAGCCAGGCTCAGCGCGACACACAAGTGCCAGCGGAGTGGAAAATTGTGTGCGTTTCCTGCTCAGACTATACCTTTGCGTTCTGCGTCACTTAAGTTTTTTCATACAACTTGTACAGTATATGTTTATTATATGAGTAATAACCGGTAATCCTCATTTTAGAATTTTGGGAGCAAACGACCTAGCGAGACGGTGAGTCGTGTTTTGATGCAATGAGACAGCGAAACTCCAGCTGGATCAGGCGCCCAAAATTGTGTGGGGTTAGGGGGATACTACGGATTATTCATATCAATTGCAGCAAATCGCCTTCTGGCAAAGAACGTCCGAGCGAGAGAATGAGCCCCACACGTGCGGAAGGGGGAGAGGATTTTTCAATTGGCTTGTGCACGGCACCATACTAACCGGTCGCCAGCGGTCCGCCATATTTGGGTACAATTGGCCCAGTCGTTTCCCAAATCTGGAAGCGGTACCTTGCACGTGTTCACTTGCAAACTGGGTCCTAACCTTGGTCCTAACTGACTTGCACAGCAACCTACTAACTGTTCCCCAACAGGTTACCAAATTTGAGTGTAATCGGCACCGTTCTCGAGACCTGAAAGCGCTCTCTGCACGATTGTACGTGCTTCGGGAACATAACCTTGACACATGGAAGTAGGGTAGACCGGGGCAAGTCGCCCCGCCGAGGTAAAACGCCTCACCGATGTTTCTCGGAACTGGGAAGGTTCTGGAGAAACATCATCTCTTCTATGAAACGTGCACTATGTGATCATTATCTGAGCAGACTGGAAAGAAATTGTGATGACTCTTTAGGGAGATATAGCCAAAAATGTATTTTTGGAGTGATTTTTATGTTTTGTTGTCAGCTTATGCATCATGGCGTTCTTTTATGGTCCACATCAGGTTAACGACTTTTATGTATTTTGAACAACTTTATCTAACGCTTATAATGCCGGGTTGGTTCGTGTTAAATTATGCCTTGCTGGAGTGCAAGGCGTTGTTCTCTGACCGAACTACGTGATGGGGTAAAACGCCCCAGTAGGTCGTGGGGCAAAACGCCCCATGGGGCGTTTTACCTCATGTGTTGTTCGGACTACCCACTTCCTAATGTTCGGTAGCTGGCTAACAGTAAGTTTCTATGCATTTATATGTACTTTTCTCAGCAACTGGATGGCAAAGGAAGTATTTTGTTAACATTTCCATTGCAATAATTTATTATTTAGCCTTATGAGGCAGGTGAAAAACCTGCTCATACAATAGTGTCATAGCTGAACACCTGATAGGATGGAAGGAGCTAACTTCAGTGCCGTGCTTCCCAAGGTCTAACAGACCTCTCATATAAGATTTAAGTCAACTAGCACGTTTAATCTTTAATCTAGAGTATGGGGCTTCTTGCCCCAGGCCGTGGGGCGTTTTGCCCTGGGGTTGGGGCAAAATGCCCCATTTGCAGTTGCTTCACAAATCACTTCCTAGCTAGGAGTCCGATCATAAGTGAATGAATTTGAGGGGTGGAATTTAAAGTAAAATGTCCAAAGAACGCATTGAGCACAAATTTGGCCTTCCAGGTGATGTGGGACAAAAGTTATTTAGCAAAATAAATTATCTGGGGCGTCTTGCCCCAGGCTACCCTACATTTACTGGTGGGTGCAGGGTGCCCAGCTACATGTATGCCAGGTTTCAGCGCAGTCGCCCCAGAAATGGCTGAGCTGTTGTAATGGGAACAAACTTGACACCTCTTCTTTTTTGCATTTTGCACGTGCTGCGAGGTTCACTCACATGCATCAGGAGTACGTATCCGATGTTTGGTAGAAGGCATGCAGCTACCTTACAAAAAGTACCGCAAGGCAATCGACATAGCTTCTGCTGAGGGTTGGTCAGTATAATCGGCAATAAATATCAAACGGGTTTATTAGGTCATTTATTTAAAAATACAGCTCCAAGCACTTATTACAACATGTCATCGATCGGTCACCTTTTACCTACCCGTCATCCGTTATGACCGCCCACCTCGTCGATGACATTTTCGAGGTGGGTCCACTCCAAAAGCACGCACACGCACGTGCAACCTCCTGCTTATCGTGATCGCCCATCACTCTCATACCTATCGCTGAAGACCGTCTTTACTGATGATAAGTTGTTCATTAACCTTCCGTTCAAAAACGTTCCACGTATAGAAGTTCATTGGATTTAAATGGAATCGAGTTAGAGGGACATAACTCTTTGGTTCCATCAGCTGGAGTTGCCCTGCACAGTGCACAACAATATGTGGTCCTCACTGTAGTACCAGCAAGGACAGAGCCATCTAAAAGACGTAATCTGAGCCTCCAGTGATCCTCTCTACCCACGACTTCGCGTGAGCCTGCCAGAGTGCGGATGTAACCGAAGGTTTGTTGTCAATAGTTAAAACACTATTCCTTAGAATTGTGTTTTTCTATTGAAAAACAAATCTGAGTTCCCTGACAATTTGGCAAAAGCTGTCTGAGATCAGTATTCACAGGTGATCTTTTATCCGGGCTCGATGAAACAGCGTGCATCACGTGTACCTTGAAGACCACCCACGTCCCACAGGACCATTACCCCACCAGGATGATTGTTTCGCGTGACCGCTGTAAGATTCTTGGTACAGTCCTCGATATATCACGCCATTCTTTTTCTGTGACCAATGGTGACCGTTGTCGCAGGTTCCCGGCACAGTGGACGCCGACATTGGCGAGCTGGAGCGGGAGATTGACGAAATTGCCGCCGACGTGGCGTCGATGGCCCGCGTGTCGGCGCCGGCCGACTCCGAGGGGGACCGGTTCAGCTCGGCACACTCTTGTCACCACCTGGACATCGCGCTCGGCGCCCGACGGTGCGGAGGGGAAGGGGCGCCCGACGGTGCGGAGGGGATGGGCGCCCGACGGTGCGGAGGTGGAAGGGGCGCCCGACGGTACCGAGGGGGAAGGGGCGCCCGACGGTACCGAGGGGGAGGGGTGCGGATAATTACAGAGGGATCCGCTGCTCACTAGGAAGCTGGTGGAGACTGGAGAAGTGGTTTTATTGGGACTGTATGGAATGATTTGTTGATCGTGTGATAAATATCGAGACTAAATGAAGATTAAATGATCGTTATCGATTGAAGATGGTCATTGATTCTGATAGAGGTTGGATGCAATTATCCTCAATCATTCGTGTCTATAAAGCCAATGTTTACATAAGGCTATCTATTTCAAGCTAATGCTGTGTTGCAAAATGTTTACCCAGTCCCGCGCCTAGCATCTGTAATATTCCGCTGCGATATTGGCTCGCCCAGTGTTAACCACGTCGTTGCGTTCTGACCCTACATATGTCACCTCCGGTCCTCCAGTGTCGTCACTGCTCGACGCCCCATCGCTGCTGCCGGCCCACTCGTCAGCGCAGCGCGTCCGCCAGCAGCTGGTCAACAAGTGGAGGGACGAGACGGCCGCCAGCGGCTCCAGCAGTCGCAGCCACTCGCTGCGTCCCAGCCGGTCGCAGGTGGCGACGGCCGCGACTGGTCGCCGCCCGCCGCCGCGACACAGGCGCAGTCGACAGACGCTCGAGCCGCGCCGGCAGATCAGCTTCAGAAGCATGCTCTGAGGTGTGCGGGAGGCAGGCAGACCCGCGGGGGCGCCTCGGAAGGAGGGCTGCCCCTGGTGGTGCCTCAAGGACGTGTCGCGGTCGGAATTGTTTGATGTCACTTGCGTTACAGTTGTCTGGTGCTTGTTCTGACTGCGGAGTTCGTGAATCATCCTGTCGGCAGTGAAATGCTTTTTTTTTGCTCCTGTCTGAAAAAGTGGAAGTGATGGCCGACTTTCTATGCAACTGAAATTGTCGTTTTGTGTTTTGTCTTTGGTCCTATCCGGCTGCCACATTGCTGGCTGTTTTACCGTCATGATTGTGTCCCTGTCTTGGTTATTATATTATGTCAGCTCGCAAATGATTGCTGCTTTCATGTGTGCAGGTTACGAAAATGATCCTTGCAACGTTTGACGTTCAGGCAAGGAAGCCTTTAAAAAAAATGTTGATACTTAGTTCAGAGCTCGCATGTATTGCATCAAAACACATGCTGGAGCCATGCACCCACGCGTTTCACACTACGAACGAAACACATTGCACGACATGTGATATATGTTGTCCGTGTTACTGTATATATTGTGGAGAAGAGTCTGTCTTTGCTGTTCGATGTTCTCTAGCTGTTCGCTAGCTGTTGCTAGTACTCTCTACCCGTCGCTTGAAATCATTAGCCCGGAAACGGGTGAACATGTTCGCTATTTTATCTGCTGTCGTCTGTGAGAATGTGACGTTAAGGTTGAAATAAATAACTATATTGCATTTAACCAACCCGAGACATTTTCGTCTGATGAGACCTTGATCTCTCCATTTGGTATCGCTTTTCCCACCAACAACTACCCAACAAACCACCTATATTCACCAGTAAGTGTGCATTTATTTCACTTGTCAGCCAAAGATGAATAAAAACGTTACATATTAGGCATGCAATCTCGCGGTACCTGTGCTTAAGTGGACGGAATAGTTGTACAGGCAGACAGCGCCGGATCACAGATCAGTGTGCACATTGAAACAGGCTGGAATCGCCAAACACGCCGAAAATTGTAAACGAGCGAGTACAGTGTATCGCGCATAAGCCCAACATACTAGTGTCGGGCTTCGGCCGTTGATCGTTACGTTAGAAACGTTGGGGTTGTGCACATATTTGTTACGTGCTCAGTCCAAAACATCGCGGTTGTAGCATTCTCGAGTCCGCAATGCAGCTGCGACGACCTACATATTATTGTGTAAAGTATCAAGGGTTTATGTGAAAAAAAAAACATCAAGATCATTGAAAACATGATACATATCAGCAAATGCAGAGAAACTACGCAAAAAGCTTTCAAAGATGCCTTCCATTTAGCTGGGGCTGTGTACGTGTACAACACACACACACACGTGGCATCACAAAAGCACAACATAAACGTGTACGAGACTAGCTTATGACTAGAAGATGACTAAATGTTTATACTATTCATGGTAACGACTACCATCATCACACTACTGTGCTTGTTCACAGATTGCTCCATCAACCGGTATTTGTAAAATGTGTGCCGGCACCAACAGTCTGTCGCAAAACAGCTTCACACTGCGTACGTAAATCATAGATTTAGTTCACTCATGAAGTTACTTTGAATTCAATTAAAAACAAAACAAAAAATGCAGTTGAAGATCAATAACACACCAACATAGAAATACCTATGTGCGGACACAAAACAAAGATAGCAAAAATGCCATGCCACGACTCATAAGACGGGTGTAAAATTTCAAACAGTGACCAGCCGGATAAAAGGTGTTCCCGCAAAGTGTGGTATTGTGGTTCCACGTCCGTTCCTGAACGGATCACGTGCTGACGCTGGTTGGGTCGAGTTCAGGTCTAGACTGGGCTGGTCGGGCAGACCCTTACTCAGGTTCCCCTTGCTCGTAATAACCAGTGTCGAACTCCTGAAACACAAAGGACATTATCCATTAGGAGTGGATAATGGATATCCAAGATATTCGGACCAAACAAAATATACACTAAAATACGCGTCACCATCCAGCGGTTGGCATTTTGTGAATGCAATCTGATAAAATTGATAATCTATCGTTCTCAAGTAACGTCCATACACACGGTACGCTCATATCCAACAAAACATTTTCACGCTGATCCAACCAGCGTCCATGCTGTTGGGCCTGGAGTCCAATCACTAGCGACTGACTGACCTGGTTCAGTTTGCGGAATTCCACCAACTGGAACAGGACGTACTCCAGAATGTGTTTGGCGCTGCGAGCGTCCGGAGGCAGCTTTCCAGAAATGCCTGAAACGAGCACACGAATCGGTATGCCGCGGTGTGCATCACACGACAGACACAGAGAAGCTCTGAGGCACTGCGCCAAGCCAAACAGAAAACAGAATGCATCGTGCTCAGTGCGATGGCTAAGATCAAAAACCTTGCCTGAGCAACCCTATCTAAACCAGCCTTACAATCAGGTTAAAGCAAATTGCATATCTGATAAACTAGAAATTCGCATACAATGCCAAAAACTCAAATCCCAATACCTCATTGACATCCAGCTCATGTCGCTGAGCTGTACAAAAAAGCGAAAAGCAGTCTGCGCACAAACAGCATTCACCTCTCTAACCAACACACCTCCGAGACCTCCCTGGCCCTTCGAGGGACCTCGCCGGCGCCTCCTGCACCCCCTTCCCCCCCCCCCCACATCCCACCTACCCATGATCTCGCCGCATTCCCGGACGAAATACTCGAGGTCGGCGTCCGTGCACTTATTGGTGATCTGCGCCAGCCGAGACTTTTCGCTGCTGAAGGCCTCGTCCAGGTCAAACAGCTCCAGCGGCGGGTGCGGGAGCTCACGGAACGCCGGCGGGAAAATCTAGCAAAAGACAGCGCCAGCGTTGAGGAATAATTATTTGGGGTTTGTATGTGTAGTATGCGGCCTGCGGATGTCATCAACGATTATAACAGTTCATAGGTAAAGAGTATCATGATTAACGATGTATCTGATCAAAAAATGATTAGGTAGACCTTGCAACTCAATAAGGTGTATTAATAGTTGTAAGGTCGTCCTGAATTCTAAAAGTCATCCCGCCGTAACTCCCACTAATACCTGGCACCACCTCAGACATCTGAGAGCCCACACCCACTACGACCGACCGCACGGCACTCACCGCCGGCTGCAGCGGCGGCAGCGGCGTCTCGAACTGGGGCGTGATCAGCTTCAGAGGCTCGTGCTTCACTCCCAGGTTGTCGTAAGACTCGATCGCCTGGAGATGAAAGGGTGCAAGAGAGTGAGAGTGCTCAGCGCGAACTGAAAGAGTGGTGGGTATAGGCCGGGGTGAGTGGCGTACGAACTAACAGGTCGTATAGAAAACGTCAATAAGGGACTGACCCAACACCGACACATGATAAGCGTGTCCCAACTGCCCTTCCTCCTTGGCCTGAGATTGTCCCTCTCCCGACCCTCAATGCCTTCCCGACCTGTGAACGTCCCACAGCCCCCCCCCCCCCATTCTCCACGTGATATAATTCGACCGTCCCCTCTGATCAGTGACCATCCTCTGCCCTCAGATCTCCCCACTCCCGTCCCCTGCCACTCCCTCCCCCTGCCCCTGACCTGCGGCACGAGTCGGGTGTTGATGGAAAACACGTGCGTGTCAAACAGCTTGGTGTAGTCGGCCGGCACACTGTCCGACTCCTGCAGACACACGCGAGGACGCTCCGCCAGCTTACCAGTCGACGGAACCTGGTTATAGTCGCTGATCTGGAAACGGAAAATGAAACTCGGTCAGACTCGCTAATCGGACGACAGAAAATGGTGGCAAAAAGCTACTCAAGAGTCGCGATCTCAAAACTAGAAATCGTGGGAGAAGTCATTCGGAGCCGCAGGACTCCACGTGGAAAACACTGATGATTCTGATTATTCCACACCCAAGCTAATGCAACCGTAAAATAAATTGATCAAAACATAGTTATCGCGAAAACCTGTACTCTGGTATATATAAAAGCATATAATCATCGCAAAACTGTACTCCAGTTTGGCATAAAACATCGGTCAGAGAGCATTCCAGTTACCAATTCAGCGACAGCGAGGGCCGAAATGTCACTTTAAAATGATTTTGAGTTTTGACAGCAATGAGCTGACGTCACCACTACAGTCCCTGATCGATAAATGAAGGCAGTGAGTGCACAAGTCCTCATAAAAAACATTTGTCAAGCAAACGTTCCTCTCTTCATACATCTCGACTCCCACTCTTTATCGTAGACGACTGAAGATAAAACAAGACCCGACGGCACAACTGCACACGAATCACTAAAACACAACCCGCCTAAAATCTCCAACAAATCCCTCCATTCCCCCTCCATCTTATCCACCATTTCCCGCTCACCTCCGGGTTTCCTGCGTCGATGCTGTTGAGCTGCACGGGCTCTGTGCGCGTCAGCAGGTCGAACAGCACGTCCTTGATCTTGCTGTTCTCCTCCTTGTCGATGTACTGGTCGGAGAGCATGGCCACAGAGCCCAGGGACACGATCTTGCCGCCGGCGTCGTTCTGGTACAGGCCGCAGATCTGCGCGGAGGGCGAACATCAGACGAGCGTATTGCCAGATATTGAAGTGAACTAGAATTAATGGGTGATGAACAGTGGCCCTAAAGAATTAACGTAATCGCATATACGTCGGCGACAATCCTGCCGGCACATTTCGTTGGTCGACAACTTTGGTTATTTTGCCACTGCTGTCAGATCAGAAAGAACCATGGAAGCTGGTAAACTCTACGTCAGAATAACTCGCGAAACTTGAGCGTGCAGTTCTAACTACAGGCAGGATTTTGCCGACTTGTCTCCATTTTTTTTTATACTAAAGCCATGCGGTATGCTTTCCAGTTTCCCATTCACACTGGTATCATATGCGTTTATCTGATGGGCTAGACCACATTCCATGACAAGGGAGGCCGATAGTGTTTTATTTTCTTAAGCCGATAACGTCTCAAAATAATTCAGCCGATTCAGCAACCACGGCCTCTGGACAACGGTCAGCTTACAGCCGATTGTGGATTATTTTAGTGTCGTGAACTACGAACTTGTCTATCGAGGTATAACAATAATGTCGGCCGTGACGTCTATCCTTCCACTTTTTAGTATGGCGGCAGAAGAGAACGGTCACGACCAAGCCGTACACATTATGGCAAGCATTACGACCAAGGCCGCTTCTAAGGACTCTACTGGTAAAGTGCCTTGGACTGGTCATTTCACAATAGCTTGATCACATGGCAGCGATTTATGAACACCCGTTATTTCTTAATGGTGATTACGAGCGAGCGCGAATCGCCAAGAGAGTCTTTTCAATATCAATGAAAAATCTCAGCATGAGAGCATGAGCATGGATGTATGAGTATTTACGGAGCGAGCGAAGCGAGCGTAGTCTTTCCTTAGATTAACGGAAATTTCTGAGTATGAGCGGCCGGCCGGCCGGCCGGCCGGCCGGCCGGCCGGCCGTGCGGACGCTTTTGCGAGGCTTATATCTCAGCAACCACTTGACCGATTTACATGCGGTAATTTTTGTAGGGTAGCTTCATTCCTTCTACCAAGTATTGGACTATTCCCGATGCATTTGGGTGACCCCTTATGCACGTGCCACGTGCAAAACGAAGAGGTGTCAGTTTTGTAATTGTTGCAATATCTCGGTAACTACTTGGCCGATTGCGCTGAAAGTTGGCATGTAGGTAGGCACCCACTAGGCACTGCATATCCATGTGCCAGAGTTGGGGTGCTGCTGCACGTGCGCACGTGCAGGGGTCGTTTCCAGATCTCGAGAACGGCTGGACCGATGGCGCTCAAATTTGGTACACGGTTAGGGACCAGTTAGTAGGGTGCCGTGCACAAGTCAGTTGGGACCCATTTTGCACGTGCGCACGTGCAGGGTGCCGCTCCCAGATCTCGAGAACGGCTGGGCCGATTGTGCTCAAATTTGGCACATCGCTAGAAACCGGTCAGTAGGGTGCCGTGCACAAGTCAGTTGGAGGTACCCCCTCGAAATTTCGCACGTGCAAGACTCACCCCCTCGCTCGCTCCGTTAGTCGCCCCAAAGGCGCTATACTGGTGAGTATGGCCCGACCCGACCCGGCAAGGCACGGCCCGGCCTGTAACGCTTTTGAGATGCTTATAACTCAGCCACCGCTGGGCCGATTGGCCTGCGGTCTTTTATATTGGGTAGCCCCATCCCTTCTGCTCCGTAATTGACTACTCTTGCTGGATCTAGGTGACCGTCGTGGCATGTAGCACGTGAAAAGCCAGGGCTATTCAAGCTGTTTTGCAGAAGTGGCGATTTTAAGAAGCCTATATCTCGGCAACCGCTTGGGCAATTTACATGTGGTAATTTTTGCAGGGTAGTTACATTCCTTCTACCAAACATCGGATGCACTCGATGCATGTGGGTCAACCCCACCAGGGTATATTGACTTACAGGGTATGGTCATTTGGCAGCCCAGGATTTGTGACGGATAATGCGCAGCAAAGACATCTCTGGCGCATGCTTTTAGCATGAGGATACTTTTTACAATATATGACGTATTTATTATTTTATTACAGTTATGTGGTGCTTTTTGTGTTTTCTTTTAATTCTAAACCTTTATTTAATTAGCAATTTGAATTTACAAATAATCCATGTTTTTGTCAATGCTGTGAATATCTTTAAAAAAGAATTGACGTCATCAAAATTTGAGTGAAACAATTTACTACTTTCACGTAAACTTGACCTTGTTGGTAATGGGAAAAATGTAATGTAAACCATGGGCGCCGCCACCGGGGGGGACGGGGGGACGCGTCCCCCCCACTCTCAGAATGGAAGGGGGACGTCCCCCCCAAACTCATTACGGAGCGAGCGAAGCGAGCGTAATCTTTCGTAGGTTAACGAAATTTCTGAGTATGCCGTGGTCACGCTTTTGCTAGGCTTATATCTCAGCAACCACTTGACCGATTTACATGCGGTAATTTTTGTAGGGAAGCACTAGATTCATTCCTTCTAACGAGCATCGGACTATTCCCGATGCATGTGAGTGACCCCATATGCACGTGCCACGTGAAAAACGAAGAGGTGTCAGTTTTGTAACACTCGGCAACTACTGGGCCGATTGCGCTGAAAGTTGGCATGTAGGTAGGTATACCCACTAGGCAATACATATCCATGTGCACAGTTGGGGTGCTGCTGCACGTGCGCACATGCAGGGGTCGATTCCAGATCTCGAGAACGGCTGAACCGATTGTGCTGAAATCTGATACATGGTTAGGGACCGGTGATACATGGTTAGTAGGGTGCCGTGCAAAAGTCAGTTGGGACCCATTTTGCACGTGCGCACGTGCAGGGTGCCGCTTCCAGATCTCGAGAACGGCTAGGCCGATTGCGCTCAAATTTGGCACATCGTTAGGGACCGGTTAGAAGGGTGCAGTGCACAAGTTAGTTGGAGGTATCCCCTCGCAATTTCGCACGTGCAAGGCCCACCCCACCCTCTCGTTCTCTCCGTTGGTCGCTCCAAAAGGCGTTTTACTGGTTGTTATCCTAATCGAAATTTGATTAGGCCCTTCGGTCCAATGAGACCATTTCAGAGCCGTATAAGTATGAAAGAATTAGTGGGAGACATTGGTCGGGGCAGCCACCCCAGTGAGCCACTTGGGATGAACCCGACCAATTGAACAGGCAGCCCAGCCCACTGGCACTCACTGCACCCGGCAAAGGACTATAGCTCCAGTGGAGCCATTCCCGCATGGGATAGAGTTGCCCGTCCAGCCCGGAGCAGGGGGTTGCGGCGTGGAGGAGAAGGATTTGACTGTCCTGAGGATGAGGATGGAAGAGATGGAACGGCCGGTGCTGAATCTGAGAGGGTCCAGGAGGTTTAGATACTGGTATATGGGGTGTGGGCCTACATGCATTGGTCTGACCCCTGCCACCTCGGCCAACAAAATATCCAGCTCTTATCCGACCTGTCATCGCGGAACTGCCGATTTTTGATATCGTGATCAACGTGTGTCGTATAACACGACTGGCCGAACACGGGCCTAATATATTTCGTCTAACCAGCCAAGAACATGACTTTACACCAATCCGACCTCGAAGTCAAAATCCGAACATTTTCGAAGACTTCAACTCCGACTCTGGCCAAAACTGGCCAAAACAGTCAACTCCGACTGATTCCGGCTCCGACCCCACACTTCTGCAGTCACGCTACACTAAATTTCCAGCTGCTAAGAAACAAGCTATACGGTTGACAGGACCACCAAACTTTGAGGCGACTTGACTACTTGACTTGGTTTTCCTGACCTAAGCTTTTCTGGTATCAAGCTTGTTACACGGGCTGCAAAATTCGTATTTTGGAGCAGTTTTGCCTAATGTTTTTTTGCCAATTTTCGCGGCGCTTCGCGTCGATTCGTGCACAAACCAAAAAGAGAGATTTGTGACTACCTATACAACGCCCCCTCCCCCACGCGGGTATGCAATATGCATTACCTATGCAATATGCATTATCGATCATATTAGTGGCATACATCAGCAATTATAACGTGATGGAACATGCGGCTTTGCCGTGTCAAACTGAATCGGACATCAGATGTGTATATAGGTTGGTACTCGGTGAGAATGCGGTCAATAGCCATTACTTTAAGGAAATACCTAAATAATCTAAACTACTTTCCTCAAACCAGTTGTTTTGCCACAGCGGAAGCTGATTACGCGTTGACCAAGCATAGTACGTAGTTCAAACCAGCTGAATGCTGATTGGCTAGCATGTTTCCGTAAGGGAATGGATTCCTCGGTAAGAGAATGACAAAGTGTAATCTATGGGAATGACTTCAGTCTTCAAACCTAAAATCGATACCGATATATTTGGCTAGGGTGATCGTTGGGCCATAAAAGCTCCTGATTTGTTCTCGTCTCAGCTCAAGCTACAAAACTGTTACTTTAGTTCAAAACCCTATGTTAAAAGTGGCATATTTGCTTTAAACGTTGAATGCATCCGACCGAAAAAGCCACGATAAGAATGTCTACTTTTGGGTTTTCAGTCGGTCAGTCCGTCCCCCCCAGTCAAAAATCCGTGGCGGCGCCCCTGATGTAAACATATATCAGTCTCGGTGCTAATGTTGATTTGAGGTAAAAGCTAGTTATTTCTTTGAATTGTGGTGGAGTTTTGGTTCAGTAGGTATGATATTTATATTAACCCGCGCCCTGCTGGGGGTCCTGGATTTCCACGCCCTGCTGGGGGGGGGGGGTGTTTGAACACCCCCCCTTGTAACTCGGCTCCTGGGCCACGTAGCGATACGCGGAAGGCGGCGTTCGAAAGAGCGCAAAAAATAATGACGAAATCACTTCGGTCAATTTTTTGGTCAGGTCAAAGGTCAGGTCACCAGAGGTCATTGAAGGCAAAATTTCGCCGATTTCCAGGTCGAATGTCAAAAATTTCCAAGAAGCCAACGCATAACTCGGGAACCAATAGAGCTACAGCGCCGCGGAAAAGCGCATTCGATAGCCCTATTAACGCCCTTTCTGAGTGATTCTCTCAGATTTGACCTAACGTCAACGG